GCATGTTAAATACAGCATAACATACACATTGTTCTGCAGTAAACCTTGGAGCTTTGGACATATGGTTACAGCAAAAAGCTTCACTCTATTTTATAATTACACTAGAGGCCTGATGCACTAAGCATCCTGCCCTGTCCCACCCCCAGCTGCTCAGTACCTGTGTATGCAAATTAACCTTCAATCTTTGTTGGGTAAATTTGCATACTCCTGATTGGCTGGTGGACGTTGCAAAGGTACGGTCAATTAGCATGTTACTCTTTTATTAGGTAAATTATTAGGTAAATAGTGTTCCATTGTATGGATGTGCCATCATTTATTTATCCAATCTCCTTTTGGTAAACATGAGTTGTTTCTGATAGTCTGTTATGGTAAACAAGGCTGCCATGTGTAATCTCATATAGGTGGTATTTTATGTTTTATTTTGTTTATGGAAAATTTTATTATTATTATTTCTTTATAATAATTTGTTATTATTTCTTTATATTTTACACATCCCACAAATATGCCACCCCCTCTCATATCTTTAGGCTGTTTCCTGTGCCTTAAAAGTCCCCACTGAGTCCTTTTCTACTGGCAAACTCCTACTCTACCTCAGGATCCAGCTCAATGGCTTCTTTCTTACAAAGCCTCCTGAATTCCCTCAGGCAAGGTGGGGCTGCTCCTTCTCTGACCTCTTCCGGTACCCCATCTCCACATCCTCAGAATTGTTGGCTAACCCTTCCCCTTCCCTCCTCAGACTGGGAGCTACTCCAGAGCACGTGCTGCCTTAGGTTTGTTCCAGAGACCCTTCGTGCTTGGCATCTGTCAGTATGAAGGGAAACGCTCAGTGCGTGGTGAGAGCTGACCAAGGGGTGCTGCACGGCCCCCGCCCCTCACGTTCAGCTGCCTCCTGGCCTTTGCCAACAGAGGACTGACCCCAGACAAAGGTGGGCTGCGATTTCCCTTCCACCCACCGAATTCCTTCCTGCCCGACGCCACCCCTTTCCCGCCTTGGGATTCTGGCCACAGCTGCCCTTGTTGGATCTGGCACGAATAGCAGCTATTACAGCGTTTTAGAAAATAAATAACGAAATGAAATGAAATGGAATACCTCCACCCATCTTCTCTCTTCCTCATCAAGTCCTTGGCCTCCTCCGAAACGGAGAGAACAAATCCCTGGGCAGTCGAATGCACATCAGTCAGCCTCAAACATAACTTCGGACTCTGTGAGATGAAGGAGGTGACAGTCCACTCTAGTACGTTCAGGAGCGTGGGAAACGCATGTACTTTTCAGGCGGATCAATGCTCAGTGATTTTTAAGGGCAACTTGAATTGTTTTTAAACATTGGGTGAATTCTAAAATGTCAGGATGCTTACACATGCCTGGAGCGGTCAATAGCTAGGTTGTTTTCATGTCATGTATTATCCTGTTACAGTACTTGGGGGTGGGAGCATGCTGGGGGTGGGGGGGGGGGAGTTTCTTTTTGCAGGAGGTGGAGCCATCAATAAAAACAAAAGAGAAAGAGGCTTTCAAGGCTCTGCCTGCCCAGATAGAGGCGGATATAGGAGTTGAGATGTTTCTCTTGAAGTCTCAGGAAAGGGGAGCTTAGCTCTGATGGAGTGCTCAGGACCGGCTTTCCTAAATCCTAGCTTGTTTACCTCAAAGAAATGGGAGAAACTATGTTTCTTCATGTACTTTCAAAGGTCAGATCGAAAATGGTCCATCATCGTTTTAAATAATGGCAAAGCTTGTTATTTCTGGCACATTACAAGTATTGGCATTTTAAAATAAGATTCTTACATCATTTTCTAAGTGTATCCAAGGGAATCTAAATATCATAATGCTTCTATTATCTATTTTAAAAATACATGAACAAGCTCTTCTTTAAAATAAATTTTACCTCATTCTTTTTTCCCTTTCCTTGCCCCTGGACATTTTAATATGAGACTTTAGGCTAGAAAGTTTTATTGATCAGCCTATCATATTTCCCTACAGAAAAATGAAAAATCTTAACTCATCCTTATTTTATTATTGATACAATTTTGAATATCTAATTGCTTTAAACAACATAAAATATTTCAAATTTTGATAAACTATTAACATTAAAGCACATATATTTTTAAAATCCTCACCAGAGGATATGTTTATTGACTTTTAGAGAGAGAGAGAGAAAGAGAGTGAGAGAGAGAGAGAGAGAGAGAGAGAGAGAGAGAGAGAGAAAGAAAGAAAGAAAGAAAGAGAGTAACAGAAAAATATCAATGTGAGAAACATCATTAAGTTGCCTCCCAGATGCACCCATATTGGAGATTGAATCCACAACCTAGGTATCTACCCTGACCAGGACTTGAACCCGAAACTATATGGCATGATGCTCCCAACAACTGACCCCAACTCCCCGACTCCCTGGCCAGGGAAAATCTTTGCTGGAATGGGTTTAAGAAAGGATGGGAGATCCTCTCACTCAAAAGCCTAAAATATGCCACATGTAACCTCGTGTGTTGTTATGAGTTGATTATATGTGTATGTAGTCTTACTGTATTTGGCATGTCTATAAACTTTATATAAATGTATCATATGGCATGTATTCTGCTGCTACAGAATGGGAGAAGCAGAGAAAGGGGGCAGTAGCTGATAGTAGAAGTGAAGATTTAGTAAGATTGGAGAAATAACAGCTACTGTAAGCTTATGGGAGTGACCCCAGCAGAGAGGGGAACATTGATATCATAGAAGATAAGGTATAATTGCCGGAGTGAAGTGATGATCTTGATTAGGTAAGGCAAGATTGGGATATTTTGCCTTAGCCAAGGGACTGGCTTTAGTGAGAAGCTTGGAAAACTCACCATGTATTGGAGGGAAAGGTGAAGAAGAGGTTCTAGATGCTGGTTTGTGACTAGGGTAGATGAGGTGGTGGGAAAACTGTGAAAGTTTTCATCTCATTGCTTCAATTTTCTCCATGAAATAGAAAGCAAGGCCATTAACTGAGAATGATGATTGAGAGGAAGAGGTATAGATTAGAATACAGAAAAGGTATGAAATCCAGAAGAATGGTGGAGGGGAGAAGGATTCATGGCTCTAAGGACCCACTTGAAGTTCCCACTGATGAACTGAAAGTAAAACTAGTCCGTGTGATTGTGTTTTTCTGTAGCCACATTCGGGTGCATGGGTGCTGGCATGGAGGAGGTGGAGAGCTGGCCTGAATTCAGGACTGTGGTTTTAAAAGCCCAGCAAGCAGGACAAAGTGGGAGGCAAGTCTGGGGGTTGAAAGTGTGTGCCCTGAAATTATGATAATAATTGGCTCTGGTAAGAATGGGAGAAATAGATATGTGGACTGAAGAATTGTTGGAGTTAGAGTGCTACAGGGAAATGAGGAACTCTGCGGTGGTGTTGGGAGTGTGATATGTTTGAAATTGTGACTATGAAGAAATTGCAGAGCTTAATAAGGTTCCTGTGATTATGCCCATGGGAGCAGGTGGCTGAGTTAGAGTAGGACAAGATTCTTGGAGGAGAAGGCAAGGAACTGAGAGGCCAGGGTAATGAGAAAACCATCTTAGTACATATTCTAACCACCTAGGATTAAGACAGAAGTGGCATTGGAGTGACTGACAGGAGCACATGATGAAAAAAATGAAGGGGCATGAGAATAAGATGAGGAGTACTGGGTAACATGATTTAAAGCTGCAGGTTAATAGAGAGGAGAGAGGAGATGGTCTGGAAGCAATGTTAGGACACCTACCTCAGCTCCAGGCGCAGGCTCAGGTGCTTATGGTTGAAAATACAGTTGCTACTACTTGAGAGGGAGGAGGGGAAGCAGTGTCCCAGAGGCAAGTCAGGTTTTCTTTAGCGAGAAGGTGAAGGGAACCTGAAGAGACATTCTGAGGTTGAGTTCATAGGGGTTGCCATTTGCATAAATAAAGAAGTGTGGTGGAGAGCTGGAAGGTGGCCCCTGTGATCCTCACCTCCTGGTGTTCATGCCTTTGTGTAGTTTTCCTTGAGTGGGGATGGGACTTGGGATTTGCTTCTGGCCAATCAAGTCATGGCAAAGGTGTCAGGATATATGTGATTACATGTATGTGATTATGTTACATCAGGTTGTAACCAACGTCCTACAGCCAGACTGTCGCCCTTGCCAGCTGCCATATTGTAAGCTTCCTACGGAGAGGTTCACATGGCCCAGAACTGGGGGAGCCAGCAGCCAGCTGGAGACGAAGGCCCTCGGGTCCTGCAGCCTGCAGGGAACTGAATGCCGCCAACAGCCCGGTGAACTTGGAAGCGGATCCTTTCCCAGGCGATCATACGCTGTGATCTTGCAGAGGAAAGCCATGTGTGGACTCCGGAACCACAGAAACTGTGAGCCAAAACATTGGTGTTGTGTTTAAGCTGCTGTGCTATATCCAGCAAGGTTAACTAACACAACAAGGTTAACTAGTACAGATGGGAATGGAAGTTTAGTTATAGCATCACTATTCCATTATTTTAACCCCAACTGAGGTGTATTGTCTAAGAATCCCGTGTTGATCTATTATTAATTATGTTAATAACAAAGAAGTGAGACTTAAAAAGCGAATTTATGACCCTTTTATTCGGGTAACTTCCTATCTCAGCACAGACACCAACTCCTGAACTGTCCCTTTGGATTGCCCTGGGGGTCTTTTTCTTGTTGGGTCAATGCACCTTCGTAATGGGTGAGGCTTTTGACTTCTTTCTAAGGTGGGAGAAAGACAGTTTTAAAAAGGGCTGCTGTCTTCAGGTGCTTTCTGAAGCTGAGAAATTTCAGAAAATAGTACAGATTGCAGAGGAAGATCTGGACATGAATTCCCTTAAAACTAGTCTTGGAAAGTCTTCACAGACCCAGGGGTAAGGGAACAACAAAGAGGACAGTTTTAGAGGCTTTCTGGTAAGAGAGGGCGGAGCTCAGGCTATGATGGAGAACAGCATGGAGCTAAGGGGTGGGCACTGCGTGAAAGGCAGGGGCGGAATAGTTTCAGGGCCATGCAATTTATTTTTCAGCAATGGATGCTTCCACTTTTTCCAATTACAAGTATTGGATTCTGCAAGAACATAGTTAAAACTATTTGGTGAGGGATATAAATCTTACACATGGAAACTAGATAAGAAAATTCAATCTTTGGCCCTCTGATATTAAAATTTATATGAACACATGAAACTTAAAAAAAAAATATCTAACTAGAAAATTAGACACTAAGTGTTCATGGATATGTCTATATCCTTTATATAAGCACTATATAATTAAGATTTCAACTACTTTTGAGTCTGCAAGTCAGATCCTGTCAGGTAACCTGCCATGTATGACCCAATCCTATTAAATTTTAAAGATTTAATAAATTTAATCTTCCAAATGTTCTCAGAAGGAATTCTTAGAAGCACCCTTCAGTAATAAAACACAGTTGGATAATTCATTTATCCAAAATGAACTAGCTGTCTGTGCATACTGTGAGGGTAGCAATGGAAGACTAAGATCTTCGGTAAAAATGGTACCCTCAATGCATAAGCATTCTCTCTTCACAGGAAGAGTGGGAGTAACAAAGGAAATGGAGTCATCTTTCATTATTTCAACTGTTGGCATTTTCATAGTATTTTATTTATTTTGTGCTGGGCTCTTTTTTATTTTTTTAATTAAATCTTTATTGTTAAAAATATTACATATGTCCCCCTCCCTCCTCATTAGCTCCTTCTAACCCCCTTTCCTCTCATGCCCTCACCACCCTATTGTCTGTGTCCATGGATTATGCATATAAGTTCTTTGGTTGATTAAATGCTTGGTTTCAGTTCTACAACAGCAATATCAATATTTATTTATTGAAATATGTTTTTATTTTAGAGATAGAGGAAGAGAGAAGGAGCGAAACATCGATGAGGGAGGAACATCCATTGGGGATCACCCCGGCAACCAGGGCATGTGCCCTGATTAGGATTCAAACTGGCGACCTCTTGGTGCATGGTCCCCATACTCAACCAAGTGAGCCACACCGGCTGGGCCATACCAATATTTATCTTTAAGTAGAGGGCATTAACAGCTTCCAACACGATCTCTAGGAATAATTCGCAGTTCTGCACCGTGCTTTAGGAAAACATTTCCCGCAGTCTGTGCAGGATTTATTCCTATCCCATCATTGGTAATAATGGCACTTGTGGCTGCAGGAACTTTAAACTCTTCTGCTGCAAACTTTAAGACTGCCGTGAACGGTGTGCTTTCAGGAACACTGAGTACTTTGTACGGCAGCCGTGGATCGGACGTCAGGGTGATCTTAAAGGAAACCTTGGACATGGTGGAGCCGGCCTGGGCAGAGACACCGAAGCCCGGAGCTCGAAGCAGTCCCACTTCCGGCGAGGTAAGGCTTCCTGCACACTCAGCAACAGATGGCTTTAGAGCTTTCTAACTGGTCTCGGTGGAACTCCCAACAGAAGTTATTTCCTGGTGGGTGAAAAAGAAAAATTGCATTTTCTGAAACTTTGTAAATGTAAAAGAATTGCGCGCTTCTTGTAAACAATTTCAAATAAAACAATATGAAGTCAAACAAACAGCGTGCAGGCCTACCCCTACCCCAGGGGCGCCTGGTTAACAGGGGTGGCGTAGGTCCTCGAAGGTTCCTTCCAGCTCTGCCGTTCCGCCTCAATCCCTCCCAACAAGGACCATGAACTTTTAGAAACTCGGCCAGCTCTCACCGGAGCGATTTCTGGACCGTCTTGTGCGTTTCTTTCGCCCAATGTATGGCATGCGGCCCCATATGGGGGCGTCCCGCGAAGGCGAGCGCCTCTGAATCTAGTGATCCAGGGCCGGGGGGTGGAGGGGTGGAAGGTGCCGTCCTTATCGATCGGCTTCTTCCCAAAGCAAATTGCTAGCAGCTGAAGTTTAATTTTTGTGCCCCCGGAGGTCCCTCCAGAGAAGGCCCGACTGGTCGCTATTTATGAACACTCACTGGACGCCCCTATACGCCGAACTTTCCCGTGCTTCCCGGGTACCTGTTTGCGAAGAGACGCCAGTTTCTCTCGCGATCATTCCCTCCTCCGCGCAGCCTTTCTCGCCCACCGCACGCGGAGGGGCAGCGCCTGCCTGCGGGGCCGGGTCCCAGGCCGCCACTCGGTCCTCCGCGGGCGCCTGCGCAGAGCGACCTCCCGTCACTGCGGGCGGGAGGCGGGGGCCGCCGGGAGAAAGGAAAGCTGCGGGGGGAGAAGCGGGGGAGGGCCAAACCCTGAAACTACCCGGATGTGGTCTCCGCGCGCGCATGCTCAGTGTCCTCCGACAAGTTGGCAGCGGCACCTCGGCCCTGGTCGTCGTCGCCGCTGCGGTAACGGAGCGGCTCGGGTGGCGGAGCCCGCGCTCGCGCCCTCCCGCTCTGGTGCGGAGGCCCTTCCCGCCCTGGCCTCGGCTCCGCGGCCGCTCAGGGGACGGGAGCGGGTGAGGGGAGCCGGGCGCCCCCGCGAGAGAGGCCCCCGCGGCGGGGCGGCCCGGGAGCTCGAGGCGGCCCGGCTCGCGCGGGCAGCGGCGCGGCGCCGAGGAGGGGCGGCCTGGCCCGGACGCCTCGGGGCGGGGGCCGAGGAGGGCTCCGGGCCGCCGGGGGGAGCGACGGGCCCGGCGCCCTCGCGGACTAGCCCCGGCGGGAGAGCCGACCGCCCTCGCCATCGCCGGAGTCCAGGTAACGCGCCATGTCCCCTCCCCTCTTTCCCCCGGCCCAGCCCGCGCACCCCTCCCGCCCGGGGCGGGCTCCCGGCGGCGGCGGCGGCAGGGAGCGCGCGGGAGGCGGAGGTCCGCGCGGGGAGCGGGCGCGGGCTCTGGGCCGGCCGGGCCAGGGGCCCTTCGGCGGGGCGGGCGGGCCGGCCGGGCCGCGGGGCCTCGCGTCCCTCGGGCCCGGCGTGGGTCCCCCGGTCCCCGGCTCCCCTCGCAGTCGGGCGCAGAACCGAGTTAAACTCGGGGACGGAGTCCCGGCCGCGGCCGCTCCTCTTTGTTGTGTCGCGGAGTTTCCCTGCCCGCCCGGGCCGAGCGCGTCGGGGCGGCCGGAGTGCAGTCAGTGCTGCCTTCGCTGTCTACATGCAAGTTAGACGTGTATTCATTTCTTTTCTCAAGCAGTTTGTTTCCTCTTTGTCCCTTCGTTTCTCCTCCTGGTTGTGCCATTCTAGCTTGTAGGTCCTGGCTCTGATTTATTTACTTTTTTAGTGTTGTGGGTGATGGCTTGCAGGAAACGATCCCGCCCAGCCCCTAATTAAGGGGAAAGAAAGAAAGAAAGAAAGAGAAAAAGAAAGAAAGAAAGAGAAAAAGAAAGAAAGAAAGAGAAAAAGAAAGAAAGGAAGGAAGGAAGGAAGGAAGGAAGGAAGGAAATCGTTTACCCTGTTGCTAGGGCTACACGTACTGGGTGTGAAATTGGTGGAGGGTGGAGGTCAGTGGCTCCATCACTTACCCCAAACTTAGATTTTCAGAGAAATGGGCGTATTTCGTTAACTTGAAAGGTTTCTTGGCGCGTATGGAGAGGTTTTGAAAGGCCCTTCAAGATTGATGGCTGTTTTCACCCCTCGAGCATCCTAGTGATTTTTAAAAGTGAATATGTTTGTTTCTTATTCATTTATTTTGAATTTAATTTCTTTTAAAGAATATATTTTTATTGATTCCAGAGAGGAAGGGAGAGGGAGAGAGAGATAGTCATGTCAATGATAAGAGAGAATCATCATCCATCGGCTGCCTCTGCAGGACTTCCCCGGGGGACCGAGCCCACAGCCCAGGCATGGCCCTGGCCGGAATCGAACTGTGTAACCTCCTGGTTCTAGGCTGCTGCTCAGCCTCTGAGCCGTGCTGGCCTGACTGAATTTAGTTCCTGGCCGGACTGAATTTAGTTCCGAATGCCTAGTTTTTGCATTACACTTTAAGGTGAAACTGCCGGTTGTTTTAGGAATAATAAGTATACAGGTAAGGTATTGTGGAATCATTTACATTTGAATTGACTTTCTAAAGGCCTGTAATCTTGACTAATTTTTATTTAGCAATCTTTGACTTTTGACAGAATTAGCATCCTTTTACTCTCCGTAACAGTTTGATTATTCGGGTACCTTAGTAAAAAAATGCATACTTTCAAAAGTACGTATTTCCTTACAGTAATGTGATTTGGAACATTGTATTTGAATAATTTTTATTGTAGATTTTATAAATTGCCTTTGCCATGCTGAACTGAGTCTAAATATATTTCAGTTGAAAATACAGCATATGAATTCTAGTGTGTAACTTTTCTGCTAAGGATTTAATTTTCCCTTATGGAAAGCTAGTACATGACATTTCAAGTTCTAAATGATTGATATAATTAACATTTAGAAATATGATTCCTTATTAATGTTTCTTTGATAATGTCACGATTTTTATGTGTGTTTTTTTTTAATTGGGTTTATTACAGAACAAATGTAATGCAGGCTGGCCAAGCATTTACTAGCAAGATTTGGAATATCTTTAGGTCTAACAGTGGTGATGAGTTAAGTAGATTTAAGTTGTTGGAGTTAAAACTAAAAGCTTTATAGACAAAATTGATAAACCATTTTGTGAGTCTATTAATAGAAGTGGCATTTTCTTTGCTTTCCAGGTTTTTGGGAAAGGTTGCATCTTCTTTAATGTTTGAAGTGGGAGTGCCTAAGTAGAAACTTCCCTGTTCAGCCAAATGCCTTCATTTTAAATCTTGAGCTTAGGAAAAAATACTTTAAATCAGTTTCAGGTTTAATGAAAATTTCTGCTGAGAAAGTCACTTTGAAATTTTTCAGAATAAGTTTTATATGGATCATTCCTCTACTGCTTGAAGGAATTCTGCTTATACTGGGAGGCAGCAAATCTTTGCAAAAACCTATACTTCACTTTCTTAAACTACGTTTTAGTTTAGTCATATCTCCATTTGTGTATGAATTCTTTATTCTGCATTTCCTTTTAGATTCCATGCCCTCTCTCCCCCACCCCCCAATTAAAGAGCAAGTATAAAACTTAATTTATGCTGTGCAGTCACACTCCAGCTTTCCAGTTTGGAAGCTGTTTTTTTCTGAGTAAGATGGTGTTATAGTAACATCATTAGACACTATGCTAATTGAGCTGTGAATTGCTCAGGCTTCTACTAGGGCAGTTAACCCTATAGAATCTGCTCAGTTCATTATATTTAAAATGTATATTTAAATTTTTTATTTATTTCTTTTAGAGATAGACAGAGAAAGGGACAGGGAGGGAGCGAGAGTGAGAGATAGAAACATCAATAATGAGACTCATCATGGGCTGCCTCCTGCACACATCCCCTCCTGGGGATCCAGCTGGCAACCCCTGACATGAGCCCAGACCGGGAATCAAAAAGTGACCTCCTGGTTCATAGAGCGGTGCTCAACCATTGGGCCACACTGGCTGAACTTATGAAGTGATTTTAAAGTGAATGTTTTTTTAAACATCTTATATAGCCATTTCAGTGCTCATTGTACATGTTGGATTTTCTTTTCTTTCTTTTTTTTTTTTTCCTAGAAGATTGTGTAGTTAGGCAGAGTTATGTTTTCTGTTGTTTTTTTGTTGTTGTTGTTTTTGCTTAAATGATGATTAATGGTGACTCAGATAATGGTTAATCATGTATAAAACTAATTAGTTTCAGTGATTTTATTTCCTACACTAAATGAAAGGAGCTAGGTTAGCATTCAATTTTGTTAAATTATTAAATTTGGGGCTTTTTTTCAACAGTTGATAAGGATTCAATTGTTTTAAAAAGAAATTCAAACAGTTGAAAATTTTGTCTAGATATTCATTTGAGTGACTTTCAGTTTGATACTGTCTACATCATAATATGCCAAAACATATGCTTGACAATGGGTCAGCTTTAGAATTTTTGGATTTATTTCTTGTTCTAAAATGTATAATTTTTGGTGATGAGAAATGTGGCAGAATTTCTGTTTCTTGGGAACAAGGTATTTTGGGTTTCACTTTGACACTATTACATGTTGTGATTGGCATCCAGGAAAATTTATTTTAACCATGAGAGTGGATAAAAATGAGGGTAGTGCTTACTAGTAAAACTAGGATAATAAGTGATCAGAATCTTAAAATTTTAAGTCTTTTAAAAAAAATGTTTTTATTGATTTTTAGAGAGGGATAGAAAGATTAGAGAGGAACATTATGGTCAGTTGCCTTCTGTTTGCTCCTTACTGGGGATCCAAGCCCGCAACCTGGGCATGCTCCCTGACCCAGAATTGAACTGCTGACCTGTTGGTTCCTGGCTGGACATTCAGCCGCTGAGCCACACTGGCTGGGCTACTTTAAGTCTTGATTATTTGCTACTGCAAATCACATCATAGATAAGATACAGTAGAAAGCTACCATAGACTGATTGTAATGAGTATTTATTATTGCATCTTAATTACAATTTAATAATTGTAAATGCCTTTAAACTCAAGAACTATACTTTATTGTTTGTTTTAAATGAGAATTCTTTGCAGTCTGGAAAATTTATAACTCTAGGGTTCATCTTTTCTTTTCTTTTTTTTAAATCCTCACCAGAAGATATTTTTTTCCATTAATTTCTAGAGTTAGTAGAAGGGAGAAGGGGGTGGGAGGAGAGAAACATTGACATGAAAGAGACAAATCGATTGGTTGCCTCCCACATATGCTTTTCTACAGGGGTTGGGGACCCAGCAACTGAAAATTGAACCCGAGACCTTTCAGTCTAACCACTGGGCAAACTGGACGAGGCTGGGGTTCATTTTTTTAATGTTTTTCTTCAGCTCCCAGTATTTAGGACAGTGGTTCTCAATCTTGGCTGCTCTTTGAAATCCCTTTAAAAACCTTGATGGCTAGATTCCACCCCCAGAAATAGTGATTCAGTTGGCTTGGGTTGTAGCCAGGTGAGAGTTCTGAAGTGGTTGAGCTATTAGGGTTCTCTAACTTTTAAAACATTTTTGTTTATTGATTGCTTAGAGAGAGAGGAGAGAGAGAGAGAGAGAGAGAGAGAGAGAGAGAGAGAGAGAGAGAGAGACAGAGACAGACAGACAGCAGTTTGTTGTTCCACTGATGCATTCATTGGTTGTTTCTTGTATATAACACCAACCAGAGATCAAACCCGAAACTTTGGCAGATAGGGGGTGACATTCTAAACAGCTGAGCTACCTGGCCAGGGTAGGATCCTCGATAGCTTCATTTTTTTAACTTTCACTTGTGTCAGCTTTACACTCTAATACCTTGATATACATAACGCACAATGTAATCATCTCACATCTAACTTAATGGGTCCCTTGAAGATATTGCCTCATATATTTTGCTTCCAAGTCTGTCCCCTTCATCTCCTTCTCTCCCCTATTTTCTACTTTTCATTGTTCAATTCGTTTGAACTGTCTGGTAGCAAGTTTTAGGATGCTGCATTTCCGCGATGAGAGGTTGGTATTCACTATTCTAACTGGGAGATTTATCTTTTAAAGCATTCTAAAATACTTACCTGGCTCCTTTTTGAGACTTAGCATTTAAACTACCAAAGGAACTTGTTTTTTATATAGGGGTAGTCTATTTGGAAACCATAAAATTTTCTAGACACCAAATAATCACTTGAATGGTTCCTGAGATGCATGTTGCATTGATTTAACTTTTGCTGACAGGATTTAACTTGAATACTGTGAGAAAGTTGCCCAACAAGCCCAACTAGTTGGTAGTTCT